TTTCCTGCTGCTTTTGAGCTCCTGGGAGCGGAATCAGCCCTTTTCCCTGTGGAGCCACTGTAGCCTCCTTGGGGCAGAGACTGAGCAACCCAGAAGGGGGTTTGAGGGAGGCCTTGATGGAAGAGGGGAGGGCAAAACTGGGGGCAGGTGAAGACCTTCCCTGCCCTCCAACCCTTCAGTCCCTCCAGAAGTTGCTTCTCTCCCTCTCAGTCGCTCCCTCCTTCCACCTCCTGCCTCCACTCCCACCATCTCCCCCTTCCTTCCCCCCTTCCTCCTCTTCCCCCCCCAGCTCTCCTCTTCCTCTTTCTTCCTCCTTCCTCCTCAGAGCCTCAGGTGGGAGCCTCCATGGGATCAGGGCCCTTGACTGAAGCCCCCTAACTCTCCCCCTCTGGGTCCCTTCCAGGCGCCTCCTCCCACTCCATGAAGTATTTCTACACCTCCATCTCAGACCCCAGTCAGGGGCTGCCCCACTTTGTCGGTGTGGGGTACGTGGACGGTCAGGTCTTTGTTCACTACGACAGCCACAGCCAGAGGGCGAAGCCTCGAGTCTCCTGGATGGAGAAAGTGGGGAAGGAGGATCCCCAGTATTGGGACAGTCAGACCCAGATTGCACGTGGCGCTGAGGAGACGTTCAGAAGAAACCTGGAGATTCTGAGGAATCGCTACAATCAGAGCGAAGGTGAGTGATGGGTCTGGTGGCTCCTCCGGCCCCATATTCCCCTCCCCAGGAACCAGAGGGGGGGGGGAAGGGGGGGTCCCTTCAAAGGGAAAAGCATCCTCCACACCATTTAAAAAGTGTTTTTTTTTAATATGGTTATTCTTTTTTTTTAATCAATATAAGATTGTCCTTGCCTCCATAGCTGACATTTTCTTCCAACTGCAGTTAATGAAAACGTGTTTAAATTTATCCATCTGTCTGTCTGAATGTTGACATGGATATTGATATAAACTGAGGTAAAAAGGGACCAAAATCTCCCCTTCCCCCATGAAAGATGGAGGGTCCTTAGTGGATCTCCTGCTGTGGGGGAGGAAGGGAATCACAAGTCCCCCCCCCCAAAAAAAAGAGGCAGGAGGATCCTAAGGAGATCCTGGGGGAAGCAGGTCCTCGTCCTTCTATCTGTTTCCACCCCAGAGAAATGAGGGATCGAGTGGAGATCCACCTGGGGAGACTAGATCCCTTTCCTTCTCCCCCTTGTTGGAGGGAGGAGTGGGGCCCAAATGCCAGGAGCTTCTTCTCATCCTCCAGTGGGAAGGAGAGGCCAGGAGGCCCAAATGGGGTGGGGGGCTCTTGGAGGGGGGGGGTCACAGGGCCAGGATCCTCCCAATCTTGAGGGGGAAAGAGAGAAAAGAAACAAACCTCCATTTGGGGCCCTCCAAGAGTCTCTCAGAGCCATCATGGCTTCCCATCCTTGGTCCCTCAGGCTGAACTCCTGCCCTGCCCTCTTGGTGGGGCTGCCCTGGAGGGGGGGAGACTCTTTCTTCAGCAGCCCCTCCCCCCATTCTGCCCTCTTTTGGGGTGGACAAGATTCCCCTTCAAGGAACCTTATTTAGTAAAGGGGTGCAAGGAAATCTGAGGAAAACCTTCTCCACAAACCTCAGCCATTTCCCCTCCTTTCATCCCAAGGAGGGGCAGCCCCGCCCTTTTCCTCCCCCCTCCCTCCAGGGAGACCCCAGAGCTCCTCCAGTCCTGCCCCTGATCCCCCAGGATCCCCCCAGATCCCTCCAGGCCCCCTGCTGGCCTCCCAGGGGAGCAGAGCTGGACCCAGAGGGCTCCCCCTGGTGGAGGAAGGAGGAAGGAGAGCAGCCAGAGTGGAGGGGAGCCTCCTTTCCAGGCTAAAGAGCCCCAAAGGTCCCAACCTTCCCTCAAAGGGAGGCTCCTTCCACCCCCCCATCGCCTGAGTCGCCTCCGCTGGACCTTCCCCAGCTCCCCCCGGTCCTTTTCTGGGGTCTTTTGAGCAGAAAATGAAGAGAATATTCCAGATGTGGAGGCACCCTTGATTCATGTAAAGCTTTATGACATTAGCCTCTCTGTGTTTTCAATACTATTTGAATGATCCCTGATATCCTGTTTGCCCTTTTAAATTTTTTATAAAATTTGGATTAAACTTTTTGAACAAAAAACAAAAACTAATGGAAAGTAACCTAAAGTAAAGGAGATAAAAGAAAGAAATCAAAGAAAAATAAAAAATTACTAGGAAAGAAAACAAAGAAAGAAAATAAAGAAAGAAAAAAGACATAAAGAAGTGATTTCTGATATTCTTCACGGCAGTTCTAAATATAAATGTGTTTTAGCCCCTCTTAAGCAGCCTTCCTCAACCTTTTGACCCTGGAGGAACCCTTGAACTGTTTTTCAGGCCTCAGGGAAGCCCTGAACATCCAGGCTCAAACATAGGGTGAAATTGTTTTATGCATAGACCTGAAGAGATGCATTAATAGTGTTCTTGCACTAAATATAGAAAAAGGAAACATGCCTTTTCAATGTGATCCCTGTGCTTTCTTTTTCCTGCACAAATATTCAAATCTCTGCCAAATTTGAGATAAGAAAATACAGATTTTATCTTCAAGTGAAATAAGACAATTTCTGTCTTTGCTTTTGATGCTTCTGAAATAAGACTGAGCTTGTTCTCAGAAGTTGAAAACAGCAGCCAAATATTTAGTGCCTTCCTGTGAATGGCAGGAGATTCTTCTTGGGCAGAAATCCAGAACTATTTTTCCCACGGGGAGATCAGGGAATCTCCTCTCGAGGGAAGGATCGGACTGCAGCTCACGAGGATCTTCCTCTTCCTCCAAAGGGAAGTTCTCAGGCTGAGTAGAAGATGCAGAGAAAGGATCCCTCACCTGTCATTCCTGGGTGTGGAAAGGGAGGGAAAGGACTGGTCAGTTTAGCTCAACTGTACTTACAGGTAGTTTCTCCTTAGATTTGAGAGTTTCTGGCGTCCTTTCTCTCTCTCAAGGCCAAACAGAAGAAGAAACATTTCAGGGTTTCCATTTGTTTTTGTTTTTTTCAAACGTTCAGTGTTCTCCTTAAATCCAAGAATCTGGTCACTTGAAGTCGAAACATCTTCTCCAGGGCCTTGCAGAGGCTGTAAACTTCAAGCTCCTTTCAAAGGTCAATAACCCTTTGGGTGTCCAGATCAGACTGGGCCACTTGCTTCTGTGGCTGAGGAAAATATTCCTTTGTGGCCCTTCAAGGCTTCATTCCCACTTTGCACGAAACCATGGTTTGTTTCTGGTTAGCCCAAAGTGGGAACCAGCCCTATTTGTGGTATAGACCAAGATTTATGGTCACAGGGATCCCTGCAAGCTTTTGTGTAGATCGACCAGATCCTCTTTGAGGCCATGAGATTCTCAGTCCCTCTTTGCAGCCGCAGATTCAGGCAACTTTTTTCTCCCTCTGGGATCCCTTCCTTTCCCCCCAAGAGTCTCCCCTGCAGAGGAAGAGCAGAAGGAAAGATGGAAATGTCTCCGTCCCTCCATTTATTCTGTGACTCCCCCTTTTCTCAGTCTCCCTTGGGATCCTCTGCTGTCTTTTCCAGCTTCTCCTTTTTCTTGGGGAGGTTCAGGGGCTCCATCCTGGGGGGGAAATGCAGGGAGGGAGGTCGAGGGAGGGGAGAAGGGCGGCTAGTGATGGGGGCTTTCTTTCCCTTGAACTCTAGGGAGGAAATGGGGGTGTCAGTGCCTGTGTCAAGGTCCCTGCAGGGAGGGAGGGTCTCTGTCTATCTTGAGGACTCCCCAAACCATCATCTTGTCCCTATTTCAGGCTTTCACATAATACAGTTGATGTTTGGCTGTGAACTCCGGAAAGACGGGAGCAAAGGAGAGTTTATGCAGTATGGCTACGAAGGGAGGACTTTCATCACCTTCGACAAGGAGACCCGCACTTGGGTGGCTCCCGTCCCCCAGGCCCAGATCACCCAGAGGAAATGGGATGCTCTTCCAGCACAGAATCAGTACTTTAAGTCCTACCTGGAGAAGGAATGCATTGAGTGGCTGCAGAAGCACCTGTCCTATGGGAAGGAGACGCTGCTGAGGACAGGTGAGCATCTGGATCCAGGCTGGACTTTCCTCCTTTATGGCCGGATTCCTCTCACACATTCAGCCCCTTTGGGTCCCTTGTCTGGAGCCTGTTTGCCCTGGTGGGAATCCTTCTCCTCCCCTTCCAGCCCCTCTTGCAGGACACGGGAAGCCCTGTTTGGTTCCCATTGCCAGGCAGCCATTCAATGGAGCAGGAAATGCAGCCTCTCCCTGGCAGGAAAAGCCCTTCAGGGTGTCCTGTTCACTGCCCACAATGAGGCCACCATTTGGGGCTATTCAGTGAAACCCCCATTAGCCAAACTGTAGTCAAGAGTGATGGGCTCCCTTAATTTCCCCCCATGAACTCTCCTTCCCCCCACATCCCACAGGGGGCTCCCTCCCAGTCTTGCACCTGATTGGGGCACCTCCCATGGCCACCACTGTGGGGGCTCCTCTTCTGCCCTTCCTAAGACACCATCACAGCCCCCACTTGGGCAAAGAAGCCCATGGAGGAGGGGTTCTCTTTCCAGGGTGGGGGGATCCCCCATAGTTTTTGTAGATCTCTCTCTTAAACCTCGAACAGGTTCCCTCAATTCTGACTTAGTGACTCTTTCCTCAAAACGGCCCCCTCCCCACCTTCAGGAACACCCCCTCACCCCACAAGGGGTCACATTATAACCTTTTCCTGTCATTTGTTATTAATTCAGCATCTAGACCACCCCTCCCCCTCTTGGCTCTTTGACCCCTCCAGGATCAGCTGGTTGAGATTAGGATCAATGGGGGAATCCACCCCCCCCCCTCAGATTGCAAACAGCCCCTCCCTGCCAGGGAGGACCTTCTCTCTCTTCCATTGGCATCACCTCCCTCTGCCCTCCCTCCTTTTGAGAGACGGAATCTGTTCTCCAAATAGATCAGTGAGAAATTCCAAAATCCCTGAGCCCCTTTTTGCTTTGATTCTGGCTCTCTTGCTCATAACATTGTGGTTGTGTCCCTTGGAAAGAGGCCTGGAGCAGCCTCAGATTCTGGGGAGAAGAAGAAGAGGAACCAAGAAGTAGGGAGCAACTTCTGTGTTGTTGTGGTTGTCTTGAAAGGGAACTTAAAAGACCATCTCCACTCTCCCTCCCTTGAAGGGAGCAGCCCAAGATCAGTCAGAGTTAAAAGCAGTCAGAGAGGAATTTCCTTGGACCCTCAATTTGGGAAAATCAAGAGTTCTTGTGGTTGAGCATTTTCCAGATTTGGAGCATTTCCTAAAACTTTTGGAGATGCTGCAGGTGTGAAGTATAAATCCTGCGGTTACAACTAAGTGCTGGGAGATTTTCCTGCCCCTCCACGTTTCTCACCCCCCCCCTTCCAAGCTCTGGAGGGGCTGAGAGTTAATTCTGGGGGTGCCGTTTCTGCAGAGCCCCCAGCAGTGACGGTGAGAGGCAAGACAGAGTTGGAGGATGGGATGGAGACGCACATCTGCCGCCTGGATGGCTTCTACCCTAGGGAGATCGATGCCTCCTGGACGAGGGACGGGGAGGTCTGGAAGGAGGAGACCTTCAGTGGGTTTCTGGCCCCTAATGCGGATGGGACCTACCACTACTGGCTCAGCATCCGGATCGACCCCAAAGAGAGGGGCCGCTATCGGTGCCACGTGGAGCACGACAGCCTGCAGGAGCCTCTGGACCTGGCCCTGGAAGGTGAGAGGCTGCAGGGAGGGGAAGGCTGGGCTCTTTGGCAGGCTGGGAGGTGGTGGGAGGGGAATCTGGCCCCAGATGTGTCCAGGTGTGAGCAAACCTGAGCTTTCATCCATTGGTTTTTCCAGTGTTTGAGTTTGGTGCAGCTGCAGGGACCAGACCACAGAACTGACTTCAGGGGATGGAAACTACAGAATCCCATCACAAGAGTTGGCCAATCCTCATGAAATGCCCTCAGATCCTCTCTTAGGCCTTCCCTGTTTCTTGCCCCCAGCACCAGAAATAGATTTCCTTTTGTTCACAATTCCTAAAGTACAAGAATCAGGAGGAATCTGGTTGCCCCTTTTCTGAAGGTTAAATTTTGACTAAAATGGATGAAGTGCAGCCGACTTCAGGAAATGCAGAGAGTGGCTGGACTGATGCATCAGGAGTCAGAAAAGAGGCTAAGAAGTCTGAGTTTTATTGTCATCAGAGACTAACAGGGTTTCCTGCTTTAAAGGTCAAAAAGTCACTGTGTGTTGCTTCTCTAAGAAAGAAGTTGAACCTTATTTTATGATCTGATAGGTGAATTCCTGAGGCTCAGCATAAAACCCAAGGAAAAAAGCCCTCTTTCAAAGAGTTCTGTATATGCTCAGAAGTGTCCTTAACGTACACTGGACTTCCAAAGTTGCAAAATTCAAATTCAATTTTTTTTATTGATGATTGTCACCAAGATACAAGAAATATTCAAATGTAATTGTTATGCTGATATCCCAGGCAAAATAAAATATTCCTTTTATTTTTGTTGTTCTTTATAGCAAGCACCAAATTCACAAGTGGAATGATTGCTATTCAATGGGAATCCTGAATTTTGTGCAAGAGAAATTTAAATTTAAACTTCCCTCCTCAAACCTGCTTTCCCCCGCCCCCCAAGCAATACCAATTTATAATGCCTTGGTAAGACCATCCACGGAATTCTTCATGCAGTTTTGGTTTGCACGATATAAAAAAGATGTTGAGACTCTGGAAAAAGGGCAGAGAAGGGCAACAAAGATAATTAGGAGCCTGGAGGCTAAAATCTATGAAGAGCAGTTGCAGGAATTGGGCATTTCTAGTTGAATGAAAAGAAGGACTGGGGGTGACATGATACGTTCCAATATCTCAGGGGCTGCCACAAAGAAGAGGCAGTCAAGCTATTCTCCAAAGCACCTGAGGGCAGGACAAGAAGCCATGGGTGGAAACTAAACAAGGAGAGAAGCAACCTAGAACTGAGGAGAAATTTCCTGACAGGGAGGACAATTCATGAGAGGAATGGCTTCCCTTCAGAAGTCGTGGGGGCTCCGTCACTGGAAGCATTTAAGAGGAGATTGGAGAGTCACTTGTCCTGAATGGTTTAGGGCCTCTTGTTTGAGCAGGGGGTCAGACTGGAAGACCTCCAAGGTCCCTTTCAACTCTGTTATTCCATTATTCTATTTCTGCCATTTGTGGGTCCGTCCAGAAGCTGGATATCACCCTCTTCCATTTTCATGCTGACGTTCTGGAAGCACAAAATACAATTTTCTTTGGACTGGCCAAAGAAATGAAAGTGTGTACTTACAAAAAAAGTCTAGGTGATATGAACTATTTTACTTTAAATAATAAAATGCAAACACAGATCTGCCCAATTCCCAAAATCTGTTTGTTTAACAAATTTTGTTTATTTTATTGTGTTGGGGACGTTTTTGTTTTGTAAGCTGCTGAGAGTCACAAGGTGGCAAAGGGCTGCTTTTGAGTCGAAAAGCCAAAGAGGAATCCAGCTGCCTTCATGCTGGGCTGGTGGGAGAAGAAGGCAGCGTCAGGAGGACACGTCCTCTAACAACGGTTAGCAAGGCGCCTTCATGGTACCCTGAGAGGGACACAAAAATGAGCTCATGCAGATTTTAATTTTGGGGAATTTCCAGCTTTCCCTTCTTGGGGTCTCTCTTGGGAAGATTGTTTGGGCTTCTCCTTCAATGATCTGCTCTTTCTCCCAATTCAGAACCAAAATCCAACCTGGGGATCATCATCGGCTGCGTTGTGGCTGTTCTTGTCCTGGTGGGTGTGATTGCTGGGATCCTGGTATTCCTCAGTAAGTATCTTTTTTTGAGGGGGGGGGTGATGGAAGGACCCCCTTTGGGGAGCTCCTTCTGGGCTTCCTTCTGTCCTGTTTTCGTAGCCCTCTGAGATCTCAGCCTCTCGCTGGGACTCCCGTCTCCATTCAGCTGAGTCTGAGATTCAGGCAGTCCTGTCTTCTTCTGAGTTGGGAAGAGGCTTCCCAGTTCTGTCCCTTTCGAAGAATTTGGTCAAAGAGCAGCAGAGAAGGATTTCCATGAAAACCTTCCTCCCCTCCCAGCTGCTGCTGCTGCTCCTTCCCCCAATTCCCCTCCATCCATCTTGGAGGCAGCAGGTCTCTCTTGGGTCAAATCAGGGGATACATTTGTATTTTGAAGATGTTTCTGTCTTTATAAATGGGACAAAGGGTCTGTGAAGTATCTCCTGGGGTTCTTCCTCCTACAGAGAGAGAGTTTGGATGATCTCTAGTGGATTCTTTTGAGCTTTCACTGATTTTTGTCCTTGCAGTGAGACGACGGGATGACTACAGAGCTTACAGACTTACAGGACCACCTGTAATGCTTAAGGCACCAGGCTAGAACTCAGGAGGCAGTGAGTTCAAGTCCCGCCTCAGGCACGAGAGTCAGCTGTGTTATTTTGGGCCAGTCATCGTGTCTCCACAGGGTTGTTGTGAGGAAAACAGGACAAGCAAAGAGTGTTATTTGTGTCCTCAGCCTTGAGCTCTTCCTGAAAATGATAAAAGCGGGATATGAACAAACAAACTCACGGACTGAACTCTCTCCCGATCTCAAGGACGCCTGAAAGAAGAAAGGCCAGCGTGGTTCAGCCTGATCTAAAGTCCAAAAGAAATAATGTCCCAGTGGGTTGGTGGTAGAGCCTTAGTCATGTCCTTC